CATACCAGTTTAATTTACTAATTAAGTTTAAAGTTATTGTTAATAAGTCAGTGACAGTGAACTTTTAGGGGATGTTAATTCTTTGAACTGTATGGGGCATCCTGTATGAGTTGAAAAAAGTGTTAATGCATTCAAACAGTTGGGTCATTCGGGCATGTTTATTCTAATACTGGTGAGCTGGTGCAATCGATTTCAATCGAAGTAATGGGAATTACTTAACTAAACAGTTTACTGCTAGCCTTTACCCAATTAATATAGCGAGTTAGCAAAATAGTTATCTTGTTTGAACTCTCTGCTCTGAAGCTTATAAATGCTTTTATGCAAATAATTAAATCACGATTACAATTCATCATTATTACATATTTGCTATTAAACCTAAATATTCGTACCAGTAACGAGCTTAATTGTAATTTTTAATCGTTAACATTTTGCAAATTTTATTTCCTATAAAGCGCAAAACCTCTGATCAATTATGAATATTTTCGCTGATTCCTTTCCCCCTTGGGTTTACAAAAGTTGGCAAGATAAACATCGACCATCAGCGAATATACATATTTACAGTCGTTTTCAGCTTAGTTTGCGAAAGCGCAAAAATTTATCCAAAGTTTTAAGTTGTAGCGGCAATCCCTTGTTTGCCGATGAAATCAGAAAGTTGAGTTGATTAACACGATGTAATGACTTGCTAACAATTTAAATTTCAATTAGCGAAACTGTCGAGGACAATTCCGAATCGAGTGTAATTCTGATGGAGTTTCTCGCCGCCCTTATTAGGGTGTTCTTTTCGGGCACTCGCTATCCTAATAGAGACTGAATAGGCAACTTTGTATTCTCGATTTGCAATTTTCTTTAAGATTTTTAAGATGATTTTAAAGGTTTATTTTTCACTAAAATGTGACTTTTTCTAGTTGACCCTCTCATTATTATTGCAGCTATAGTTGATTGAGTAATATTGAATTAATTATTTGATTAAAACTGTTATTTACCTATTCTAAATTGTCATTGTCATGAGTCATTTATCTATCTTAAAGGGTCGTATTTATTTAAAAGAGTCATTTATTTATCTATAGGAGTCGTTTGTCTGTCTAAAACAATCATTTACCTATCTAAAAGAGTAATCTATCTTTCTTAATAGGTCGGTTATTTATTTAAGAGTCGTTTATTTATCTACAAGAGTCCTTTAACTAACTAAAAGAATCATCTATTTATCTAAATCAGTCATGTATCTACCAAAAAAATGGTAGCATATCTATTTAAAATGTTGCTTACATATGTGAAAAGTGTCCTACTTATCCAAAAAATGCTATTTTTCGTAGTATTTCATAAAATTATTGTATATTGCGTTTAAGCAATTGAAATAAAAAGAAAATTCACAATATGAATCCGAATATGGGAAAAGCTTATGTACAAAACAAGTCGGCAAATTGCACAAACGAAATCGTTATCAAACACGCGCGTTTTCCTCTTCCTTGATAAATTTCCCGGCCTTGTTTCCGCCGACGATCGGAAGGTATAAAATTCCGTCCGTCATTTTTGCCGATTCTTCCGCAAACATATCTAACAAACATCTTCATATGTTTTATTCAAAAAGTGACTAATGAGGCGAGAACGTTTTCGTTTGATCTTGAAGTTTTCATTTTGCGTTCGCATTCCCGTTTCGTGTATGGAGGAACGATTTTTCGAGATAGAATATATAAGGTACCTTTCGGGGCGCCCTTCTTACCGGGCTCGCCCTCTGTTATTAAGGAATCCTTGGATGAATTTTAATTATGGGCCGAAGCAATTTAATCGGATTAAAAATCCGTTTGAATAAAGCAATATCGATGTTTAGGATGGGAAATATATTGCGTAAGTAGATTTGTGTTTGTAAAGTGTATCGTTGAAAAATTAAATATTAAAGGTTCGATTAGACTTTATCAACGGTTTTTTTTATTTTTAATTGTTTAGATTGTGTCCCTTAATTTGCGTGAAATGTTGACATAAGAAAAGTAAACTATCTATATTATAAATTCAAACCGTTTTTGCTAGTAGGATTTCTCCTTTAACTAATTTTGGCAAGTGTTGACTTAGGATAAAATTCGGCTGTTGTAAATTGTCGGTTCTCCTTTCCTTGTATCACGTTCCTTACAAAAAATAAATACATTAGGGCATATTTAATTATAAATCCACCCAAAAAATAATACCTGAAATTAATTAAACACGCGTTCAAAGTCAAGACAGAATCACCCAGTACATACGTAAATGCATTAAAGTCGCTTCTACCTACTGTTTTGTGGGGGTTTCTTTTTTAATTAAAACACATCGCGTCCCGTTGTCTTTAATTAACATTTACATGATGAAAAGGGTTCGCATCAACAACAATCTTTTATTAAAATCGATGAAATAACTTTCATTCTTCCGGCGCCCCGAAAGCCTTTTTAAGGTTTAATTGAACCTCATTTAATTTTTCAGATGTCACCGCTCGGAAATGGGACGTGTGAAAAGCAAAAAATTTCGATAGACGATAATGAAAATATTCCTGGCTGGCGATCGTTTTATAAAAAGTATTTAATCAAGTAATGGACATTATTTTGGGAAGAAAAAATTTAAAATTATTGTTCGTTTTTTAAATACCTAAATGAATTAATATGTTTAAGAATTGTACTGAAAATTCAAGAACTTCTGAAGTTGCTATTAAATTTTAATTCCTACTTTCTTTATGTATCTTTATTTACTCGCAAATATTTTTTATTTAATAATTAAAAATATTGGGCTGATCAAACTTTTTAGATGCTTTTAATTAAAGCTGCAACTTCCTAATTATGAAAAGTTTAATTATATCGTCAAAAAGTTGCTCCAATAATAAAGCTCGGAATTTACGAGTTAAAAAACATCAAAAGATTATTACCCAATTCCATCTGTCATTCTCTCTTGTCTTAAGACATGAAAGAAGTTACCTAAGATGACTGCTTTAAAATGCTGAATATTTAGAATTAAATTCTGCATTATTATAGATCTTGCATACAATTTATAACAATTACTAAACAAAATGATGAGGCTAGTAGTGTGATTAAATATATTAAAATTCTTCGTTTGCCCAACCTAAATCTCTCAAAACGTACATCTAATTAAAACGAAATTTCGTGGAAAACGTCGATAAAAAACGGAAAATCGAATTTCGTTCGAGCGTTCAGGTAGGCACATTTAATAACACTCCCGGAGATAAAAGAAAAAAAAAAGTTTTAAAAAACCATTTTTCTGTTTTGTACGATTGATCAAAACGACAATAACGTTTGGAAACTCGGAAAATCGGTGTAATTTTTCACGAAGGCATCGCTTACAACTCCAATATATCACCGAACAAGGGCCATATTCGATTTAATTACTCAGAAGTGGAGGAGTTTTACATGGAAACGGCTGTTGCGAAAACGAAAAGATGGTTCTTCGGGACCGTCGCATCTGTTCGCATCCATTAGCTGCACCTTTGATTTGAATGTGATATCATACTCGCTTGTGAGGGAGGAATTTCCCAATTATTTCTCACTTTTTGACGGCCTCAGAACGCTTCGTTCGAATAATTTTACCGCTTTTCGACGAATCGACGGTCTCCTGAAAGAAATTTCGAGTTGTCCCAATAATGTGATTAAAATTCGAAGGGAAAAGGATCTGCTTTTAAATAGAGAATTGTAAAAAAGAACTTCTTTAGTTTGGACCTATACTATCAAAATTGTATTTATCTTTGTGATACATAATACCAGTTAGCAGCACCAGGTATTAATAGATACTTAGGTCGCACCCATTTAAATTAATTGGTAAACATTAAATAATAATCCGTTAATAGGACGCACTAATTTTTTTCTCATGATTAAAAATCGATACAAAATGATGAATTTAGTTGAAACATACCTAAATTTAGTTAGGTGCATGAAACCAATTTCTCAGAAAGGTATAAAATAGATATACTTACCGAGTGAACAATATTGCAGGAATGTTTTAAAAATTTTAAAGATGCTCCAATTTTTGTTTCTGTTAAACTCTTCCTAGAATTGTTTATTCGATAGTTTAAATCTCTTATTTATTTTTGAAAAGTTCTTGATAAATATATTTTAAAATATTTTCCAATTTGTTGGTTCCAAATACGTATAGGGCGAATATTTCAAGTCGAAAGAGGGAAGAAATACTGAGTATCATGTGAAACTTTCAAGAGACACAATCGTGATGGAAAAACACGGAGGATAATAATGTCACGTATTTAATTTTCGAAGCGGAGAATTATGTGACGTTTCGTGTTAATTGTTTTCCCATTTCCAGGCGCCAATTTTATTTCGTCGCGCAACTTCATAAAACTCCGCCGGCAAGTTAGCGAAGTTGATCGACTGTTCAAGGAACTCATTTTCGCGGATTCAATTCCGCCTAGGCAAATTCGAAAATCAGTCTCAGTTTCAGCGCGGGCGCTCTAAAACTCATCTTAAATTCATAAACTGCGCTAAATACGGCCCTCTGTTTGAAGAGCTTTCAATGCGACGGGGCACAAAAGCGCCCGGCCAGTAAACGCAATTCCCTCAGAATTTTCGACGTGTAACTTCTGTTTTATCCGACCGGACGAATTGATTTCGGAGCATTTTACGCGTACGGCCACTGCGAAACGCTGTTTTACACAATCGTCGGATCCAGACAAAGCACGGGACTCGCATTCGGTCCGTACGGACGCGGACCCTTTTTGCTTATCTATTAACTTATGACAGCGCGTGTTTACCTACACGAAATTGCTTCGACACATAAGAGAGGCGAAAGAAACTTTCGCAACCCCGACCGTCAAAGTTCGAACTTGTTTCTGGAAAATTCAATTTTTGCCCGACGCTTTGCCGAATCAATACGACTCGTGCGAGAACCAACCCTCCTACAATTCAGTACAATGTCTCGTTCGCTTCGCAAGCTCATTTTTTGTTACCTGTATCGTGTCAATAAATACAAATTTGCATAATTGGGGGTTTCCATTGAAATGTGCGCGTTTATTGTTGCAGGAGTAAAGTGGCCGCGGCATTGCTCAACAAGCACCTTCAAATCAACGGCATATCCGCCGGACTGACGTCGTTAAGGCAATCAGTGGACGAGGGCCTGGTGACGGACGACAAGGCTGCAGCGGCGGAGGCGGTGGCTACCGATCCCGGATCCAGCAGTAAAATGAAAAGGGAGAGAAAGGCGGCGAGGACGTTAGGGATTATAGTGTCGGCGTTTTTGGCTTGTTGGTTGCCGTTTTTTCTTTGGTGAGTACCCAGTACTTACATAGAAGGTGTCCAGAAAGTAAGTTCCGTTTAAGCTTAAGTTAAGTTCCGATAAGTTCTGTTTTTAAGCTACATTTCTAGACAGGTCCCAAAATTTTCCGAGCATTTTTTAGTGCGTGGTACTAGTTTTTATATATCCTCCTTGAGGAGGCTTAATAGGTGCTTAATCGGTCACGTGTTTGCTAATTCTCGCAACGCTATAGGGTGAAGGTGATATGGTTCTAATGTGCTGATCCATTTGAAATAACAAAATTACTCTGTCTGGACATAGTCGATACTAACTTTCAAACTTCTAAGTTCATTTATTAGAGATATCATAGAAAATACATTCGACCATATATATGGTGCTATTATCAAAGTCCAGTTAAAAAACGGCCACAGAATCCAAAAATGAAGTCAAAAATGGTACATTCTATTTGAAATAGCTAAGTTGACATCTACTTCCGGTATAACCGGATGTCACAAATGGTGGCTGAAAATATTTTAGGAAAACTCACAACACTGTTTATACCTTAATCCTAAATTTTCAGATTTGTAACTCTTCAGGAACTCACTATAAGTTTTATAGGAATGTTTCCTTAAAAAGCACTGTACCTATACATAATTGAAAAAAATGTTGGAGTAATATTAAAATTATGTTTTTGCTGGATAATTAGCAACAAACTTATGGCATTTTTTTTTATTTTCTTGACACGTGTCAAGAGGTCTGCTGAACTTTCGCTACGAATCAGAGGGAACTTCAATTTTCCCAGTAAACTAAAGTTAATTACAGCGACGAAATGTTCTTGAAGGGTTCCAAATATAGAGCGTATATGTAATTTACCTCGTATCAAAGTGAAAAAATCCCGGCGGATTCAAGACGTGAAAGCGGTTATTAAATTATTTATCAATCGGTATACAAACACGTATTTACCTTGTATTATCCATTTCGTTTCGATTAATTAAAAGCGTTGTTAATTGACCTTCTCTACATTGATTTCTCTATATTGGGCAACTTTCCGCCTATCAAATCTCAGGGCGAACAAAAAAAGGGTCCATAAAACTATAACATCCTTGGTAAATTATGGCACGTATTTTTTCGTATACGTTTCATTCGATCTCCACTACCTACGGCCTAGCGCGATCCTTACGAAGGCTTTCATTTACTTTACGGGCAAAACCGCTCGGATCCCCGATCCCCGTTTTCGTTCATATCGTTTTTCCTTCTTTCAATATCTCCAAGGTAAATCTGATATTCCAGCCGGTAGCGGTGAGTAGGCCCTGCGAAGAGGCCATTTTCCTGACATGAATTTATAAACTGAACGGTATTAAATTTGCGACGTTCGTTCGTCGCGAAGACGACGCGAATGAAACGGAAGTTATCCTGAAAGGTCGATTTATACAGAAGTCTATATCACCGGCAGCTCGGTCATAAGTTCTCTGCACCTGAGGCTACTAGCTAAGTTTTAACGATATACAAAAAAAACAGAAACATCGGCAACAAATTTAGCGAACTTTAAAATAAATTTTCGTTATTTATTTCTTTCGGTCTCGCCCCTGCACCTTCTTGTAAAAACCCACACGCTCCGGTGACCTATTTCAATACCAAGTTTTTACCTAAAATTGACTCCGACAAAATCGAATTCGATAATCGCATTTCCGATACGACCCAAACACGCGCCATCGAATTTTCTTTATGTTCTGATCAATTTGATCGGTTGATATGTATGCAACAATTTAACAAAATCGCAAACATACAAAACTGCCGGCTACAAGCTGCATGCTATTAAAGCTAGTCGAGCGCTAGACGCGATTATCCCGTGATTACCTATTTAGGCATTTAAAGGCGCCGTGAGATTGGACGAATTAAGGATAACGCCTAAGGTGTATGAGTTGTATTAGATCCGCTCTAATTGCATGTACCTATCTAATTATTTTTAATCAAGATTATACCGCTGATTATACCAACTTTTGTCCCTATACCTAGTGCATCGCAAGTTATATCCTTCTAACCATCAGTAACTTCATTGCATCCAAAGTTCTTCAGGCCAAATTTCCCCTAACTCATCCAGCATTAATTGTGGTGTTTTACCCTGTTCCAGGTATGTCATATCAGCGCTATGCGGGTACAGGCTGTGCTACAGCCCCCCTTGGGTGGTGACGCTGGTCTTCTGGGTGGGGTACTTCAATTCGGCCCTCAACCCGCTGATCTACGCCTACTTCAACAGGGAGTTCCGGGTGGCGTTTACGAAGACGCTGCAGAGCTGCTGTCACTTCTCGTCGCAGCTGGTGTGCAGGAAGTACTCGCTGCGCAGGGAGCCGCCGATGACCTGCAGCAACGCGTCCAGCGAGTTGCACGGTAACAACTTGCTGCGGGCCGAGGCGATAGTGCAGCGATTCAACAATCTCTCCGAGCAGGAGTTCATTAATTTAAGGCAAAACGAAGCTGTTATTTAAAGGTTCCGAGAGCTTAGAATTAGTTACATATCGAAGGCAATAAGGCTGTAGTTGCGACGTGGTTTGATCGAGTAATTTCTTTTTTTATTATAACGATAAATTTTGATGGGTATGTATTATTTTAAATACCTACCTCACTTAATTGAATATCGATTTAGTGCATATGTGGACGAAAATTCCTGTGGGACAACCTTATTTTTGAAAATCGGTTGAAATTATTTATGTAGATATTGTTAAATTTTTTATTACCGCGAAAACAGATTTTTACTGATAATATTTATGTAACCGTCGAATTAAAATTCAAAACACAATATACATTAAATTTACAACATATAACAGGGAATATAAATTCAAGATATTATCCATCATAATTTCGGGAATTTTATATTTATAGAACTTCCGCGCTGACATTAAAAGCACATTTTGATGTATACTGTAACAGCCTGCATGTGTATTATTAATTTAGAGGATGGTCTAAAATTATTACCTAAAAACTCGTGTAGTTTTAAAAACGTCCATTATTACCTCCATTTCTAAAATTGGTGAATTTTTATTTCTAGGTCGAATACATAGAATGTTATTATTTTAATATTGCCTATATCAAATCTTAATAGAGCTTTCGAAGAGGGTAAGTAAAAATGAATATATTGATCTACACCGGTAACGAACATTTTTCATCAATATTCCCGGCAATCTGAAGTAATAAATTATGTATAGAGAGTATACCTAGGTTGACTTTAACTCTTGTCGAATCTTAAGACTTTAATTACCTCCTGCAAATTCCGAAGACTAACTTGAATAGACTCTAATTTTAAATTGCTCTTTGTTCGAGGCAACTATTCAAAGTTGCAAATTTCAATGAGCATTAATTGTACGGAATTTGGCGTTTACTGGGCAAACAAAGCATACTGAAGAAGGAAAATGTTTTTTTTTCGATTTTGAGACGGATATTTTGGGTATTTTAACTGAAATATGTATAATATACCGACTTATCTTTACGATGCGCATACCTTTATTTATTCTCAAATAAGCTTCAATTTAAATTCGAAACATTTTAATCATTATACTGACAGTATCTCATCATGCAAAAATTACATTATAAATAATATAATTCATCTCATCCGATTTAAAACTCTGTTAAAGTTAAATAAGGGCACGTTATCAAAGACGATGTAAAATGAAAAAGCCCTCCTCATGTTCTTTTTTTTTATAAAATCGAATATTGAATTATGTCACACAACAGTAACCACAATGAACAGTAAAAAGTCGATTGAGCATGAAGTTGGCAAGTCGTAAGAAGCGATCGGAACAACGATTTTAGGCGGTGGGTATATTTTATTAGGTGAAATTGATGAAAAAGGGAAATACGTGAGGGTTCAGTCGGATGAAATCAAATTTTATTTCTTTCTTATACAAAGCGATTTTATTGTATCACAATGTTGCGAGTGCCTCGAAACATTTTTTTACTATACCGCCGAATACGAAAATAAGCATCAATAATTTACTGTCTAGGTAAAGAATAAATATTTGGTACAAAGTTAACATTATTTTCACATTACCACTGTTATAAAGTTAATTTTCCGCATTTGTAACTATGTATAAAAAGGGGTATTAATCATTACTAATAATTAGTAATCAATTAAAATTATTACAATCGATGCATTCAATTTCATTCCATCATCAACATCCTGTAAACTTCCCGAAGTTATCTACCATATTGGTCGATAATTTGCTAATAACTTCGGTATAAAGGCATTAAGAGTCGAACCTGTTTGAAAAACTTTCCTAGCAAACATCAAAGTCTTTCGACTATCCTTTGAAACAACAATTATTAAACCTCATTGCACCGAGAATAGCTCTCGAGCAGTTTTTTTTCAGGTCGATATTAACCACCCAGATAACTCTGTGAAAAATTTACTGGCATTTCATTTCGAATCGCCGGGGAAAAAATTAACTCGTTTCGTTTCTTAAATCGAATTTAATCAAAATCCTTTGAAACATTCGTTGAATGTATAAACAAAAAGGACTTGAAGCGGAAATGTTTAAGGACCGGAAGGTAGGTAAAAATTAAATGCGGAGAATCCTGTGTACTCACTTAATGATTTAAATCAGAGTTTCGCAAAGAATTACACCTTCACAGTTTGTATTAGGGGCGAATTTTCGATTTGGTACACTATTAATAATAATAATCACATCACAATAAACTATTGATTTAATCTCGAATGGAAATAGTTCAGAATCGAAAAGTTTTGGAGCAACGTGCTAATTGAAATTAGCAGCAAAAATTGAAACTAAGAGCATTCGAGAGATAAATCGAGCGATAAATTAATTGAAACAGAAAATTAATTAAAGTGCATTAGGAAGATGAGCAACGGAATTAAACGTGAAGTGGCGAAGGAATCGTAATAATCGCACGAAGATAATACAAGAAGCAAACAGTTAAAACTTTGGTAAATAGTAGGAGTTATACCTTTTCTCACAGCCATTTGCACCAGGGCGTTGGATATTAAACGAATTGAAATTCAATAGTACCTAGTTTATTTTTTCTTATTTGAATCACTGAAAAGTTTTAAAAGTAGATAGTATTTTTATATCTTTATAGAAATTATTATTTTAATGAAACTCCCTACAACGTATCTAAAAGAAAAACGTAGAAAATGTATAGCTCGAGAGGAAACTTCAATAGATCGATATTTCTATCCGCCAGTGTAATAATAAAATTCGTATTAACTATATCAATTGCAGTCTATTTAACCTAGATAACTGTGAAAGTTCATAAAAAATGTATAGTAGGTAATACCGTCGATTTTTCTTCCATTGTCTAATCCAATAACCCCTTATTCTGTTGCCACGATTTCCCATAATAGTCGTGTATAGGTACGAGTAGGTGCCTATAGAGATTATATTGTTTTGCCATTTCAATTCGTTTTCTGTGAAATATTTATTCGGCACGTGTTCATCCGGCGTCGAATTTTGATCGAAATTTTAGGCCATCCGATATCGGGAATTTCGCTCGCCCTTGTAGAACGTAGGTGTATAAGTATTTCCGCGCGATCACCTTGGTATGCGAGGTCGTTTTCTCGTCGTATTAAGAGCTGTAAATCATATCGGCTTGTCTTAATGATCCCTCGCATGTGAGCCTAGTAGATGCCGAATAAAGGTATTTAAACCCTTCGACCTGTGCCCTTCACCTTGGACTTTTTCCCTAGCACGGACGTAACAAGTGATTATATAAAAACTATTTTGAAATGCTGGATGATTTTGTTAAAATTCGTGTACTTACAGCCTGTTTGAAATAGATAGAGACGTGAATATATTGAGCACACTTTAACAGATTTTTTTTGTTTTGCTGTAGGTATTAATTTTCCATTTTTCTAGCTATTTTTTTTGTAGGACTCATCAAAATGTTTACCATTTTGTATTGAATTATATTTGTTTTATTTTGAATTTTTCTGAGGTCGGTAAATTGTTTTATTAGGTACGCCTATGATGCCAATGAACGTGACCCTACTCGGAAATACAAATGTGTATTTGTTTGTGCGGGGTAGTATTTTCGAGCTTTTCTTGAGGGTTGTTCGTTAACCAACGGTAAAAAATGAACAGGTTCTCGTGAAGTCTACGTATTTCTGGTAAGTAGATCACGATTCCACGAAACGAAGGTTTGTTTTTATTATGGGTTGAATTTATTTTGGTATATGTTTTTTGAACCATTAATAAATTTCTTTAAATATAGAACGGGTGACTGAAAAATTGTTAGAAATTATATGTCATTGCAAATATAATATTTTAATAATTTACCACAAAATATGCCTTTAATGAATTTAATCAATAACCAAAATTATTAACAGAATAGCACTAGATATAATCACATCTCTCAAAAAATCTCAATAATAAAATTTATAATCATCTGGTGTTATTGCTAGTTGTTCAATATTGTATACAGGTACACAAATCACCATTAAACCCACTTTTTAGCCTACCATTTAATTAATTTTACTTATTCAAAGCGTGGTGGATGAATGCTGGTTTTCAAAAAACCAGGCTAATCTAACCACGTAGACCTTTGTTGCCAAAAAAAATACCTAATTATTTTTAGATTAGTCCATACAGGAAAATTCCATCGAACTCCTTTCTATACGTTTCATTTATTTTGTACACCTGACGGACTAATTTAATTACCAATACTAAATCTGAAATAAACTCCGGGCAATAAGACATTACCGATCCGGCACTTTTACTTTTAATTAGTTAATTTATATTTCGAAATAAGTTTCTTAATCAATGTTCACGAAGGGAAGCGCTCGTAAAAAGTAATCAAAGTATTGGTATCAGAAAATTTGGAAATTTAAATTATCTATTCCGTTAATTAGACGATAATAATACCAAGCCCTTACTTACAGGAGCTTTATTCAGTCGATCTGTATGTTAGAATAAAAAACGAATAAATCCATTCGCAGAATTTTACTACCCCAAGCATTTCTTTTTGATAACACTTCGTTCGGTTCGATTCCTAAAACGAGCGGTTCGTCCTGCGGGCGGAGGGTAGTACATCCTTTCTGCGAGGCAGTGCGATGCATGTCTTTCGGTAATTCAAATCACCTGTTCGTGGCGCCGAGTGTTTTTTACCGGATTTTAAGAAACTTTCCGTCGTCGATCCGCTATTTTGCGTCGAGATTTTATTTGAAAATCTGCGGCATCCTGGACGGATGGCGCGGGTCGTACATCCTGCATATAAAATATGCGGATCAAAACTCCGTCGGTTCGGGAAAGGCATGCCGAGAGAAGGATGGGGATTTTAATACCGGAGTGAAGACGTAATTAATTGTACAGGGTGATTCGTAAGGAATAGAAAATTGATTATAGTAAGAGATATACTATATGTAAAAGAAAATATGTATAATAAGGATAAATTAAGTTTCTCTACGATGACTCCCTTAGTTTAATTCATTTTCTGTACCTCGGGGAGGATTCACACTGAAATGCTCGTGGTAGTTACAAAGCGAAATCGAGTAGGTAAAACTCAAATATAAGCGTTTGTGTCCCTAAAGTTTCCGGCGAATGCGTCGCTGCTCTTAAAATGCATCTTCTGAAATTAACTTCTTCGCTCGTTTCGACGAATTGGATAAAATTCAACAAGCGAAATTCACACTTGTGCGCTTCTGTTCGGA